AGTTCTGGATTGACTTCTTCTTTGCCAGGATTTTGAACCTATCACTACTTATCCTTTCCAGTTGCTTTTCCTGCCATTTTGGTGATATATTCTAATTTATATAAGTTTTTTTTTATAAAGTTAAGTTTCAGGGCAACAATTTAAATATCATTCATATGTATATGTTTATATATGTATATACATATTTATCTATCTGTAATTATACCTGTACCTTCTTTATTATTTTCACTTTTTTTGTATCTTAATACAAATAAAACTGTACTGCCTTTTTTTTAAAATATTATATTTATTTATTTGAGAGAGAGAGAGCACAAGCAGGGGGAGCTGCAGGCTGAGGGAGAGGGAGAAGCAGGCTCCCCACTGGGCAGGGAGCCCGATGCAGGGCTTGATCCCAGGACCCTGGGATCATGACCTGAGCTAAAGGCAGATGCTTAACTGACTGAGCCACCCAGGCGCCCCTATACTGCCTTTTTGAAGAGAATTCCTTTTAATATTAACATTTTATTGTAAATTTTTCAGATTATTTCAAAAAGCACAAAGAAACCTTTATTTCTGTCAACTGTTAGAATACCCACTCTCAAAATTATCAACACAAATCCTTTCAGTAATTTTTAAAAGAAACTCCATTTCATAAATTACTTTTTCTATGGTAAAATGTATCATGAACAGTTTTCCAAGTTATTAAATATTATAACACTGTCCTTATTGGAATAGAGTTAGTGTTTATCTCTGTGGCTCTACTATTATTTTGATAAAATGTTTGCCTTCTAAATTTTGCCTTATAAACAATGCTTCTTTCAACATCCTGTTTGCATTTTGTATACTTGTCTCCTTTTTCTATTTTTTATTTCTGAAATAATCTGTGGATGTCTTATACATACAAAATTTTAAACATTGCAGATAAACTAAACTCCCATTTGCCTATTTCCCTTTCCCTAGTTTCTCCCCTAAATTTACCACTGTTGGCAGTTGTGTTGATTTCATCCTTAATAAAAGGGTAACTTAGATGAGAATCGAATCAGTATTCAGATATTTTGGCTACCCAATGTGTTCTCTTATCAGTCAGATAATGTGTTCTATATTATACTTTTTGTAATAAACCTCATTATGCTGTGACAGTTGTGATCTCAACCATCCCATAGAACTTTATATACACTTTCTCTCTGGTATAAATGTTATGATCAGCATAAAGATTGAATTCTGTAGGAAGAGCTTATTACATCTTAACATCTTTATTTTGGTTTTAAGTTTTTTCTTTTCCAATATGGAGTGTCTCTTATGGTTAAACACCATTCCATAAATAAAATAGATGAAGAAAATACTAACATTTACTAAACAATTCACTAGTTACATTCATGCATTCATAACTCATTTACTCCTCATTACAAACCGATGACAGTTATCTTAGTCATCCCATTTTGCCATACTTGAAGTGAAATACATAAGATTGAAAGCAGTATTATGTTTCTACTGAATATGTATATTAATCTTCATATCTATATATAGATATATACATTGTATGTATAGTGTTTGTATGTGTGTGTTTAATTGCATTTAAAAAGGCTCTTGAAAGAAGGGGTGGGGCAGAGTCCCAAACAGACTCCAACAAAGGGCTCAGTAACACAACCCTGAAATCGGAACCTGAGCTGAAACCAAGAGTTGGATGCTTAACTGTCTGCATCAACCAGGCACCCCATAAATGGTGTTTCTTAAAAGATTAACAATGTAGCAATTTTGGCAAAAAAAAGATAAGCATTAGGACTGAGAAATTGATGTTATTACAAATTATAGATTTTATGGGTAAGAGATACACTCTTTTTGCTAATAATTTCAAAAAAGTAAAATGCATGATATTCTTCAAAAACAAATCTCCAGAACTCAGTCAAGAGAAATATAAACATCCACTAGTCCAATAAAAACTAAATAAATTGCCCATAGCTAAAGAAACCACCTGATCTTTTTTTTAAGTTTTTATTTAAACTCCAGTTAGTGGGGCGCCTGGGTGGCTCAGTCGTTAAGCGTCTGCCTTCGGCTCAGGTCATGATGCCAGGGTCCTGGGATCGAGCCCCGCATTGGTCTCCCTGCTCCAAGGGAAGCCTGCTTCTCCCTCTCCCACTCCCCCTGCTTGTGTTCCCTCTCTTGCTGTCTCTCTCTCTGTCAAATAAATAAATAAAAATCTTTAAAAAAAATAAATTCCAGTTAGTTACATACAGTGTAATATTAGCTTCAGGCGTACAATTTAGTGATTCATCACTTATATACAATACCCAGTGCTCCTCACAAGTATCCTCTTTAATCCCCATCACCTATTTAACACATCTCCCCACCCACCTCTCCTCTGGTAACCATCTGTTTATTCTCTATAGTTGAGAGTCTATTTCTTGGTTTTCTTCTCTCCTTTTTTCCCTATGCTTCTTTGGTTTCTTAAATTTCACGTATGAGTGAAATCATATGGTATTTGTCTTTCTCTGACATTTCACTTGGCATACTACTCTCTAGCTCCAACCACATCATTGCAAATGGCAAGGTTTCATTCTTTTTCATGGCTGAGTAATATTCCATTATTTATATTTTTATATATTAATATATAAGTGATATACATATATCACTTCTTTATCCATTCATCAGTCGATTTGGGCTCTTTCCATAATTTGGCTATTTCGATAATGCTGCTATAAACGTAGGGGTGCACGTATCCTTTCAATTTATATTCTTTGGGTAAATACCTACTAGTGCAATTGCTAGATCATAGGGTAGCTCTATTTTTAACTTTTTAAAAAGATTTTGTTTATTTATTTGAGAGATAGGGAGAGCATGAGTGGGGAGGGAGGGGCAGAGGGAGAAGGAGAAGTAGACTCCCTGTTGAGCAGAAAGCCCAATGCGGAGCTCGATCTCAGGACCCTGAGATCATGACCTGAGCTGAAGGCAGATGCTTAACCAACTGAGCTACCCAGGTGCCCCTCTTTTTAACTTTTTGAGGAATCTCCATACTGTTTTCCAGAGGGGCTGCACTAGTCTGCATTCCCACCAACAGTGTAAGAGGGTTCCCCTTTCTCCGCATCCTCACCAACACCTGTTGTTTCTTGTGTTGTTGATTTTAGCCATTCTGATAGGTGTGAGGTGATATTTCATCGTAGTTTTGATTTGTATTTCCCTGATGATGAGTGTTGTTGAGCATCTTTTCATGTGTTTGTTGGCCATCTGTATGGCTTCTTTGGAAAAATGTCTATTCATGTCTTCTGCCCATTTTTTAAACTGGATAATTCGGTTTTTTGGCTGTTGAGTTGTTTAAGTTCTTTATATATTTTGGAAACTAACCCTTTATTGGGTATGTCATTTGCAAATATCTTCTCCCATTCCATAGGTTGCCTTTTAGTTTTCTTGATTGTTTCCTTTGCTGTGCAGAAGCTTTTTACGTTGATGAAGTTCTAATCATTTATTTTTACTTTTGTTTCCCTTGCCTCAGGAGACATATCTAGTACCTGATTTTTTTTTAAGATTTATTTTTTTATTTTAGAGAGAGATAGAGAGCACACACAAGCAGGGGTAGGGGCAGAGGGAGAGAGAGAAGCAGACTCCCCACTGAGTAGGGAGCCTGACACAGGGTTCACTCTCAGGACTCTGAGATCATGACCTGAGCCAAAATCAAGAGTCCGATGATTAACCAAGTGAGCCACCCAGGTGCCCTGTACCTGATCTTTTTTATAGGTAGAATTCCTAAAATTTTGAGGAGCTCCTCCTAGTTTATCTAAACGTCAAGCTTGACATTTAATTTTATGATTCTTGCATAACCTTGATTTTACATTTAAAGGGCAAGACAAAACTTCCGGTAACAAATATGAATATTTGTGTAACATCCTGAATAAATTGGTCATTTCAATTCACAAATCTATTAAGGAAAATCTAGGTGATTGTTCATTCCAAAAAAGTTGAACAATATTTCTATACTTTAATAAAGTCAAAAAGGTTCTTTTTAAAAGTGTTGATCCAGGGGCGCCTGGGTGGCTCAGTCATTGAACGTCTGCCTTCGGCTCAGGTCATGATCCCAGGGTCCTGGGATCGAGCCCTACATCGGGCTCCCTGCTCGGCAGGAAGCCTGCTTCTCCCTCTCCCACTCCCCCTGCTAGTGTTTCCTCTCTCACTGTGTCTCTCTCTGTCAAATAAATAAAATCTTAAAAAAAAAAAAAGTGTTGACCCATTTGGTATAATTTTGTTTTTACATCATACATTTTCTTTGGGGCACTTGGCTGGCTCAGTTGGTGGAGCATGTGGCTCTTGATCTTGGGGTGATGAGTTCGCACCACATGTTGGGTATAGGGATTGTAAAGTTTCATTTAGCATTTATTTAGTTCAGGTTTCCTGCTAGTCAATTATCTCAGCTTTTCTTTGTCAAAATAAGTACTTAATCTTAATTTTTGGAAGATATTTTTGGGGCATAAAATTCTCAGTTGACAGAATATATATATGGTCTCTAGTGGTTCTGTTTTACTGGAGAACCCTGTTTTACATCCAAGCTGTAAACATCTTTGTGGGGACATTGTCTTGCCTTCCACATGCTGCCAGTTTTGCAAAGTGGCTGTAGTATGTTGCATTCCCACTAGCAATGTATGAGAATTCTATTTGGTTCATATCCTATCAACAATTGATAATGTCTTTTCAATTTTATTTATTTTTCTTTTTTAAATATTGTATTTAT